TAAGTATAGAGGGATCCGTCCGGGCGGGGTTCGGGATCCCGGAGTACGGCGAGTGTGTGTGTGAATGAGAGGAGAACCGGCAGCCGGATTCTCCAAGTAATTGTGGACCCTTAAGTAGTGCGTTTTCCAGAGCTCGCGAGGGCCTGGGCCACGAACCAGGGGAAGCGATTGTGCTGTCGTGAGTGATTGAAGGTACTCCGGAGGACATGGGGCAGGGGAAGAGTAAGAGTAAATCCCCCTCCCCGGTGGGGGTAAAACTTCCCCCAATTCCTAAGGATAGTCCCTTAGGGTTTATGCTGACGAATTGGGAGCACTTTCCAGGAGCACCTGGGAAGGATAAAGCAAAGATGATACACTATTGCATAGAAGTATGGGGAGGACAAGAGATTTCTAAAGGTGTTTTTTGGCCCATCTTTGGGTCCTCAGAAGACTGGGTAAAGCAACTGTTAAATGGTTGGATAAACACTAAACAACCTCCTAACCCTGAGGAGAGTGCCTATGCCCGAGTCTGGACAGAAAAACCGGAGGTGCTCGTGTTTAAACTCTCGGAGGTTTCAGGGGGAAAGAAAAAGAAGGGGCGAGCGGAAGAAGTAATTATTGCACCCCCGCCTTACATTCCCCCTGCGCCGAATGCACCCCCTCCTCCTCCACAATCGGATGAGGAAGAATCAGACTCAGACTCTGATCAACCCTCAGGCTCACGTGGTCCTCTTACCCGAAGTAAGACGCGAGGCAAACTATTTCCTTTAAGGGAAATGCCCATGGGGGGACCACAGCCGGGGATTGGATTCATTTCGGTGCCCTTGAGTTCAGGGGATGTTAGAGACTTTAAGAAGGAGATGGGAAATTTGTTAGAAGACCCCCTGGGCGTGGCAGAGCGGGTGGATCAATTTTTAGGTCCTAATATATACACTTGGGAGGAATTACAATCTATACTTAACATTTTATTCACGGTTGAGGAAAAGAACATGATAAGAACTGCTGGTATGTGGGTCTGGGATGCTCAACCTGCACATGCCCAGCAGCGGGCCGATACCAAATGGCCTCTCGAGAATCCCAATTGGAATAACCAGGATCCGGTCCATAGAGCTAACATGCGGGACTTTCGGACCATATTAATTGATGGCATAAAAGAGTCCGTTCCTAGGGGCCAGAACATAAATAAAGCATTTAATGACAGACAAAAGAAGGATGAAACCCCCACTGAATGGTTGGAGAGGTTAAGGAAAAGTTTTCAGCTGTACTCGGGGTTAAACCCGAATGACCCAATGGGACAGGCAATTCTTAAAGTCCAGTTTGTCTCTAAGTCCTGGGATGATATTAGGAGAAAGATACAGAAAATGGATGATTGGCAGGACAGGGGTTTAGAGGAATTATTGCGAGAGGCACAGAAGGTTTATGTCCGAAGAGAGGATGAAAGTCAGAAGAAGCAGGTGAAAATGATGGTTGCTGCGGTAAGGGAAAGCAGGCGAGCGGAGGAAGGACAGAAGAGAGTCACTCGGAATAGGGAGGGTGACAAGGGAAAGGTAGGAGAAAAGGTGTGTTATTATTGTGGTAAGAAGGGACATTTCAAAAAGGAGTGCAGAAGGAGGCTTAAGGACGAGGAGGAGTTCAAAATCGAATAGGGGAGTCAGGGGCTCTATTTTATGGGGACCGGGAAACATCAAAAAGAGCCCTTGATAAAATTGAAGGTGGGTCCCCAGAGCCAGGAAATAAATTTCTTGGTCGATACGGGGGCAGAGAGATCTACTATTCAATTCCTGCCTCAGGGCTGTAATTTATCGAAACAGACAGCCACAGTAATAGGGGCTAAGGGGGAACCATTTGAAGTACAAATTATTAAAGAGGTGATGGTAGAATCAGGAACTAAGATGGGGGTGGGTGATTTCCTATTAGTTCCTGAAGCGGACTACAATTTGTTAGGGAGAGACTTGATTGTTGAATTAGGAATTCAAATTGAAGTAGTAGAAAAAGAGTTAAAGATTAGACTCTGCCCCCTCCGTTTAGAAGACGAAGAGAAAATAAACCCTGAAGTATGGTATAATCCAGGAACCGTGGGCAAATTAAATATAACCCCATTTACAGTAAAAATCAGGAATCCCGAGGTCCCGGTAAGAATAAAACAGTATCCAATTTCACTAGAAGGGAGGAAAGGGTTAAAACCTGAAGTTGAAAGGCTGTTAAACAAAGGACTGCTAGAACCATGTATGTCGCCTTTCAACACCCCGATCCTGCCAGTAAAAAAGGCAGACGGATCCTACCGATTGGTGCATGACCTTAGGGAAATCAATAAGAGAACCGTAGCCCGGTTCCCAGTGGTGGCAAACCCCTATACTCTTTTAAGCAAACTAGGACCTGAGAACGAGTGGTATAGTGTCATAGATCTGAAAGATGCTTTTTGGGCTTGCCCTCTAGACGAGTCTAGTCGAGATTATTTTGCCTTCGAGTGGGAAGACCCTGATACAGGAAGGCGGCAGCAACTTCGGTGGACTGTGTTACCCCAAGGGTTTACGGAATCCCCCAATTTATTCGGGCAAGCCCTAGAACAAGTTTTACAAGATTATAAGACCGCCTCAGAAGTGAAACTAATTCAATATGTGGATGACTTGTTAATAGCAGGGAGCGAAGAAGACAAAGTCCGGGAGGAGAGTATCAAGTTATTAAATTACTTAGGATCCAAGGGGTTAAAGGTCTCCAAAGCGAAGTTACAATTTGTAGAAGAGGAAGTTAAATACCTGGGACATTATTTGAAAAAGGGAGAAAAGAGAATTGACCCAGACCGGGTGCAAGCAATTCTGTCTCTCCCTCTACCACAAAATAAACGACAAATTCATCAAGTATTAGGACTTACGGGATATTGTAGACAGTGGATTGAAAACTATAGTGGGAAAGCAAGATTTTTATATCACAAACTCACCCAGGATGGTCATCTTAAGTGGACAGAAGAAGAAAGATCTAAATTTCAAGAATTAAAAGAGACCTTAGTCCACGCTCCAGTCTTGAGCCTCCCGGACCTAAATAGACCCTTCTTTCTATTTGTTAATACCACAGATGGGGTAACGTACGGGGTACTTACTCAGGATTGGGCAGGGAAAAAGAAACCTATTGCCTATCTATCTAAAATCCTAGACCCCGTGAGTAGGGGATGGCCTAGCTGTCTGCAAATAATTGCAGGGTGTGCAACACTAGTAGAAGAGTCACGGAAAATCACTTTTAATGCTACTTTAAAAGTATTAACTCCACATAACATACGGAGTGTGATGCAACAGAAAGCAGATAAATGGATATCTGATGCCAGGCTCCTGAAATATGAAGGGATTTTATTAGAAACCCCTAATTTTACCTTAGAAACCACCACTCTGCAAAATCCAGCCTCCTTCCTTTTCGGAGAGCCCGAAACTGAATCACTGATGCACGACTGCGTAATCACTATAGAAGAACAAACTAAAATTAGACCTGACCTAGAAGAAGAGGAATTAGAAACTGGAGAGAAATTGTTTGTTGATGGATCATCCAGAGTAGTCGAGGGTCAAAGAAGATCAGGATATGCCATAGTGGGGGGGCCTGACCTAGAAGTAATCGAATCTGGAGCCCTAGACAAAACATGGTCAGCCCAGGCCTGCGAGATATACGCTATCCTAAGAGCCTTGGAACTATTAGAAGGAAAAGAGGGGACCATCTATACAGATTCTAAATATGGGTACGGGGTGGTACACACTTTTGGGAAATTATGGGAAGAAAGGGGCCTCGTGAACTCACAGGGAAGGGACTTAATACATCGGAAGCTAATAGTAGCCCTCCTGAGGGCTTTGAGAGGCCCTACAAGGATAGCGGTGGTCCATTTAAAAGGGCATCAACGGGGAATGGATTACCGGAGTAGGGGTAACAATGCGGCAGATTATGAGGCAAAGAAAGCTGCAATTATTAAAACACTAACCTTAAGTGAAGAAGTTAGGAAAGACCTTGTAGATACCCCAAAAGATCCTGAGTCGACTACCCAGGATAAGCTGATATTTACAATAGAAGAACAGGAGAAGCTTACAAAATTAGGAATAAAAGAGAAATCGGGGAAATGGCTGTTAAAGGATGGGAGGGAAGTTCTACCTAGGGCCATAGCTCAGCGGATGCTCAGTAAATTACACCAGAGAACGCATTGGGGCGCTCAAGGACTGGTGGATCACTTTGCCACCCATTACATGACAGTGGGCCTACATGACTTAGCGAAAGGGATTACTAGGAGTTGTCCAACCTGTCTACGGGTAAACAGGAAAAACCTAAGGAAACTGCCCCTGGGTGGGAGGCCAGTGGCAAAGAAGCCCTTTTCAAATCTGCAAGTAGACTTTACTGAGCTCCCCAAGGTAGGGAGACTGAAATATCTTTTGGTTATTGTGGATCATTTAACACATTATGTGGAAGCTATCCCCACTGCCAGGGAGACAGCTCGGACAGTAACAAAAGCCTTGCTGGAAGAAGTAATACCTAGATATGGGGTTCCAGAGACGATAGACTCTGATAAAGGCCCCCATTTTACTTCAAAAATAACACAGATGCTAGCAGAAGCTCTGGGCATAAAATGGGAACAACATACCCCCTGGCATCCACAGAGTTCGGGGAGGGTAGAAAGAATGAATGGAGAAATTAAGAAACAATTCACCAAATTAGTACTAGAAACCAAACTATCCTGGATAAAATGTCTGCCGTTGGCATTATTAAATGTTCGAACTCAGCCACGAGCTGATATAGGACTGTCCCCATTTGAAATGTTGTATGGGATGCCCTATTCCCTAGAAAAAGTTCAAACTAATCCTAACATTACTGATCAAAGTATTAATAAATATTTAACCACTTTAATGAAATATAAAAAACAGTTATGGGAAAAGGGGATGTGGGCCCAAAGACCACCCCTAGATCTTGTGTTACACCAGGTACAACCCGGCGACTGGGTCCTCATCCGAAGCTGGAAGGAAGATTCAATCACCCCAAAGTGGGACGGACCATACCTGGTTTTAATCACCACTGACTCCGCAGTCCGCACAGCAGAGAAGGGATGGACTCATGCTAGCAGAATAAAGAGGCCGGTGGATCCAACTCGATTCCATACAGCTTCCAGGGAAACGAGCTGGAAAATTGACGGGAAGCCAGGGGATTTAAAGTTAACAGTAAAAAGGACTTACAAATAATTTTCATGAACACTATCAACTCTAAGGACATTTGGGTTGGGGATAACTGGGGACTGCAAGTACAACTGGTGGGAGAAACAAAACCCCCAGGATACTGTAAACATCTAGAGGATTCAGCCCAGCAGCCCTTTTATCGGTTCATCCAACTTGAAAAAGAGCAGAAACCTTGGGAAGGGGAGGGCCATGCTGAACATCAAAGTATTAGAGTAAAGTGTAGCTGGTTAGATTGTCATTGTTACCCTTTTGCCTGTTTTTCCTGCAAAATCTGTAAAGGATTGTGGTGGGCTCACTGCAGAAAGGGGAAAGCTCCAAAAAGTATATGTCAACGCTGCTGGCTGGAGCAGCGCAAATTGACCTCTGAAGTACTAAATTACAAGGTTGCCACTCGGGAATTGATTAAAGGATCCCCTGAGTGGTGGGAGATTTTCGTGAAAGGAATAAACCCTGAATTCCACTGTTACCATTCCAATGAACCCCTAGGTCCATTCCTCACGGATATAGTCCAAGTCAAGTGTCGCAAATTAGTCAAAAGGCTCAGGTGCGACACCCCACAGTTAAATGCGAAAAACTGGAACTCCCGGAGGTCAAAGTGGGAGAGAGGGAACGATCCCACCCCTGAAGAATATCTCTGCTGTCGAGAAGATGGCTTACCCTGTAACTTGTAGCAACCAAGTTGACAGGTGAGACAGAGAGGTAAGTAGTGGGGTTGAGAGGCCCTCCCAAACCTTGAAAAAGAATGTAAATCATCATGGGTATGAGAATGGTGACAACGGAATGAGGGAAAATGGGAATGTAAAACTGAGCATGATAAGTAACATCCTCCCCTGCAGTGCATATCACTCAATCCTACGGGTTTTTATGTTTGTATGGCTTCCCCTCCAGAGTGCCACAGTTAATATACATGAACCCTTTAAATGGACCTTAAGCAGATGGGAGGATCACGATACCCGTCATATTGTACAGACAATAACGGGACCTGGAGCACCGAGCTTTAAGATTGGGATTTGTGATTTAACTCAAAGTTCAAAATGTGGGCAGCTGTTAAATTTAACAAGCTTCTATATGTGCCCTGCCTCGAACCCAGGGAAGCAATACTGTAATTACCCTAGACATTATTACTGGGCCTATTGGGGTTGTGAAACAATAGCATCAGCGTGGGCTCCGGGTGGAGGATTAGACAAATATTTAAAGGTAGGGCATGGACCAGCAGGGTGTAAACGACCACGAGAGTGGCCTTGGACTGGGAAAAACTTACTTGGAAACTGCACCTTTCTTTACCTAAATGTCACTCAACCAAGTGATTCTGGATGGTTAATAGGCAAAACATGGGGGGTTAGGCATTGGATAGAAGGACATGATCCAGGAAATCTGATACAAATAAAAAAGGAGGTAGCTCCACATGACCCTAGTCCTATAGGCCCAAATCCAGTAATAAGCAATAATTTAAAGGAGAGTAATAAAACCAGAGATAATGTTATAAAATCAAACAAAATTGATCAAGAACCTCAGATATTAGTGCAGAAGTATACAACCTTATGGAAAATTATGCAAGCTACTTTTGGAGTTTTGAATCATACTTATCCTAACTTAACCAAGGGGTGCTGGCTTTGCTATATGATAAATCCACCCTTTTATGAAGCTATTGGGATTACATCTGAGGCAAGAGAAATAAATGGTACAAATCCAAAGGAGTGTCTCTGGAGAAAGGGAAGAGATAGTGTTTCAGGCATTACACTGTCCCAGGTTAGTGGACAAGGAAGGTGTGTAGGGAAGGTTCCAGCAGATATGCAACACCTCTGCAACACGACAATAAGCATTAACAGAACAAACAAGCCTTCTGATTGGCTTATGCCAGCAGTCAATACTAAATGGGTATGTCAACAACTTGGAGTTACACCCTGCCTATCGGTAAAAGCCTTTAATAATTCAGATTTCTGCATTCAAGTTCTAATAATCCCCAGAATCGTATACCATCCAAAAGAATACGTACTAGAACATCAAATGACCCCTGAACACTACCTGGCTAAAAGGGAACCACTTACAACACTAACGGTAGCAATTTTGCTCAGCTTAGGAGGAGCAGGAGTAGGAACAGGGGTTGCCTCCTTAGTGAGTCAAAACCAGGGTATGAAAGCTCTGCGCACATCTGTAGATGAAGATCTGAGTAGAATAGATAAAGCCATAAGTGAACTAGTTAAATCAGTGAAATCCCTTTCTGAGGTAGTCCTCCAAAACCGAAGGGGATTAGATTTGTTATTCTTACAGCAGGGGGGGCTTTGTGTTGCTTTGCAAGAAGAATGCTGCACTTATGTAGATCACACGGGTATTGTAAAAGACACGATGGCTGAATTACGCAAACAAATAGAACAACAAAAAAGAGAAAGAGAATCCCAGCAGAGCTGGTATGAATCCTGGCTTACCTATTCTCCCTGGCTAACCACTCTATTATCCACCCTTGCAGGACCAGTAATTTTACTAATTCTAGTACTTACTTTTGGGCCATGTATTCTTAACAAGCTTATTACACTAGTGAAAAATAGATTAGAAGCTGCACATTTAATGATGGTAAAACCAAAATACGAGCCACTTAGCGAAGTAGAAACTGAAGATTATTTAGAATTAAGCAAAAGGGAATTAGAGCGCTTTAGTGAACAAAAAGAGGTTTAAAATAAAAAGGGGGGATATTGTTAGGAAAATAAGGCCTTTTTGTTCATAATATAGAGTTTTCACATCTATAAAATAGAATTTTCACTTAGAGTTTTCACTTGTCTGAACATGTTCACATTTTGCCAAGCATTCCAGAATATCTCTCAAGGACAACTTCGTTACACACTGTTTTAGGGAGTTAAAACTAATTTAGGGAGTGGAGGTTGTTAGGCATCAAAGCACCTAAGCGAATATCTTCAAGGACAGTTCCGTAATCTTGTGGAATGCGAGTAAACGTGCCTAGAGATAACATTTCTTGTTTTGAGAGAATTCCCAGATCATAGGAGCAACCTTGAGGAAGACTACTGGCCTTCATCCCACGACCACCAAAAGGCAGAAAACGACCACCTGCGCAGAAAAGACACCAGAACGTCACACTTCCGGAGGAGAAGACCCAATAAGTTGGGGGGGAATGGGGCACGAAAATGCGGTAGTTGGAATAACTGCTGCCCAGCGCGCTGATTTGCTTTCGTTTCCTACCATTAATAAATCTTTTTAATTGGATTAGAAAGCCTATTGTGCTCGTTCATAACAATTTTAATGAGCTTTCTGGGTGTGAATTAGTATAGGTCTGCAGTGTGAAACTTTAACCACCTTAAGACAAAGACAAACAATGTTTGCTTGCCAATGAGAGTGTGCTCACAATTGTAAACTATATTGAAGTGTATACAAACTGCCATCTTATAAACAGTAAAGGAGAATGTATGATTAACCATATTGGCTTGATTTGCGTTTGTCCTGTCCAGCATTCCCGATTTTATAAGAAGTCCCTTGCTTCTTCTGGTGCTGGAACAAAGGACTTGAAAGACTCCACTGAGTTCCCAGATCGCCTCAGTGGCGACGGGGGGCGGTCTCCGAATCACGTGAAGGGAAGACGTGCAACGGAAGATTCAGCTCCCAAATCGCTTTTATAAGTGACGGGGGAAAAAATAAAAGAGTTCAATTTAGAGCAATTGGTTCTGTGGGCCAGAAATAAGGGAAAATTACAGAAGCCCTCACTCATCTTTAGCGAGAATGAGTGGCAAGAACTAGGGCAGCTGATTTGGGATTCTGCCGTTGAAGGCAGAAAAGATAAAAAAACAGTATTGGAACTCGGAGCGGTTTGGAAAAAAGTTTTACGTACCTTGCAAAGTATGTCCGCCGAGAAGAAGGCGGTGGACGCAGCCGTTTAGGCATTTGAGGGGTCCATGGCAGAAAAAACAGAAGTGCAGAAGCCATCCCAGGTCAAGAGGTTTTTTGGTGTTTATAATATGCGGCCAATGCGAGGACAAAGGGCTGCAGTCAGCTCTTCACTGCAGGAAGTGGTGACGCATGTTAAAGCAGCCGCGGGACCCAGCCGTGCGTCAGTGGCGGAAGTACGCACGCAGGCAGCAGAAGTGACTCTGCCGACGGCCAGGCAGACTGAAGGGCAGCAGGAAGTGGGCCCGCCGCCCCACTCTGTGGGCTGGGTGAAACCCGAGGAGACAGGCAGAGTTGATGACGAAACGGGGCTGGCTTAGGAGACGGAACACAGGGGTGGAGACCAGGGCAGAGACGGGGGCAAGGCAGCGCTGCCCCTTCACCCCCCCCCGGCAGCATGGCGGCGGCGGCGGCCGCGCGCGCGCAGGGTGGGTGTGGCCCCGCATCACCCAGCATAGGCAACAGAGCTCCCCGAGTTTGGGGGGGGGGGGGGGTGGCGGCCGCGAGACGGCAGAGACCCACACGAGGAGGGGGCGATTTTGAACACGGCCGCAGCGGCGGGATGGCAGAGGCGACCACACAGACAATAGTTATACAACCTGCAGCAGTCCATTCACGGCACACCGCTGCAGCGCTGCAATGCCCTCTCCCACCAAATTCTGATTCAGACAATCCAGACGAAGTCGAATCAGATCCTCCCAATTTTGTCGCAAAAAGAAGCGTTCACAGAATAAGGTGCAGAGAACAAATACATTACAGCACAAAATAGCCCAGCTTGCCAGCCTTTCAAATCAGCAGGTTCAGTTAGAGGAACCTTCCTCAAAGCAGCGAATGACTTTACCAGCTGTTTTAAAAAACCCAATCCAATCTAGGTGGGCTTCAGTGGTCAAGAATGCTATTTTAGATGGTGATTGGGACACGGCCAATTCTTTGGCCTGCCCTGTCATTGTAAGAAATAACAGTGCCTCTTGGCAGCCACATGAATGGAAAATTTTTCAATCAGCTGTGGGAATTAAGGG